ACTATAGGAAAAAGCAGCAGCAGCCTTTTTACAAACCCCGATGGCACGTTCAGTTCGTGGGTCCTTCACACCATTTTCTGTAAAATAATGAAAACAAATGGATCAGTTTTACTGTAATAATGAGATATATTCAACATACTTGTCAAAAAAAATCAGAAAAAAAAATAAAATTTCCAAATTAAATTGACTTTTTATTTTCCAGATTTCAACATTTTACAACTGTAGCCACAGACACACAGACCATAGACTGGTCTGGCATCAGCTGCACTTTATGTAAATACTGTAACAGTTTATCAAATTTTTAAGGTGTTTTATATTTTTAATGTTGTCCTCTATGCTATGAGGTGTTTTTAATTTGTCTGCATTTCTTGAGTGCATTCTGAATCTCAACAAAAATTTAATTAACATACTCACTCACGTTACATAGACCCTCATGATGAATGCAAATAATATAAAAAAGACAATAGATAGATTAGATTCTTACCTATGGCATTATGTAGTTTATGACCAAAGCACTGGAGCTTTGGCCACCTGATGTCTTTCAGAGCTTTAATGATGTTGTTAATGATGATGATTGTCTGTTGTCATACAGACGAGTCAGTCTTCAGGAAGGTTCCAGGAGCTCAGATCTTCTTTAATCCCTCTGCGATTACTTCACTTTTCTGATCATCAGGAAAGTAAGCCATTTGCAGACAGACACTTTGTAGAGCCCAGCTTTTGTCAACAAAATGCGCTGTTAAACTCATACGGCTCTATTGTTCAACTGGACCATAAGTCCGTTGTTGCAGAAAAAAACGCACATCCTCCAGCACATTTGATATCTTTTCACGCGCGTTGTTTGTTGTAAAAGGTGTGGCAAGGAAACTTCGACGAAATATTTGGGGCTAGGTAGCACACAGTGGTGGACAGTAACAAAGTACTTTTACTTTATTACTGTAATTAAGTACATTTTTTGAGTATCTTTACTTTACTTGAGTAGTTATTTATTTGGGAACTTTTTACTTTTACTCCACTACATTTCAAAGACAAATATTGTACTTTTTACTCCACTACATTTCTAGGAAGCTTGTCGTTACTTGTTACTTTTAGATCAGCATAGCTTTATAATCCGCTGAAAAAAAAAAAGAAAAAAATCCGTTGTTCCGGTTTTTCTTTTCATGAAATGCAATTGGTCACAAGCTATGTTCGTCAAAAGGTAACCAATCACATGGGTAGCTTATAGTTCTGACTGTCACTGAGTGTGTATACGTGTCTGTGTGTATACACTGACAATATTTATGAATGTAGGCATGTATGTATGTATATCTTTATATATGTATGGGTATGTGTATATTTTTATATATGCCCTCCATGTATTTATCCATTTATTTTTCAGGTGAGCGGACAGATGTTGGGTGTGTGGTCCTGTGTTTTGTTGGTGTATATTTTATATACTTCTAATTGCTATTTCAATCTTTCTATCTTTCTAATCACTTCTCTCTCTATTTTTCTCTCTGTCTCTATTTTCTCTTCACTTAAAAAAGGTCACTGATGATGAAAAAATAAACTAAATAAACTAATATTTAGTTTAGTTTTCTACTGAAGTGACAAGAAAAAGAAAAGAAAAAATGTAATTTGTACTTTTACTTTGTACTTAAGTACTTTAAAATGCATGTACTTCTGAATACTTAAGTATTTTCAAAAGTAAGTACTTCAGTTCTTTTACTTGAGTAGATTTTTGACTGAGTAACTTTTACTTGTAGTGGAGTAGATTTGACCATGAGTATCAATACTTTTACTCAAGTACTAGAGTTGAGTACTTTGTCCACCACTGGTAGCACATACCCTGCGTCCAAAGTGTTCAGCAGCTGAATAAAGCTGGGTTTTTCCACTGTATAAATAGGCAACATATCTTTTGCGATGTAAAACTGCATCTGTGATGGCTTTCCACCGAACACTCGTCTTTTCATAGGGAACGCAGTTTGAAAATGATTCCCCTAAGGTAGCTTGTCTTTTGGCGGTGCTGCTTTTTGGGCTGCTGCTGGCTTGAGTTTGTCATGAAGAGCAGCATTTCTCCCAGTCCACAGAGTGCCTCTGTTTCAGGTGTTGGAACAAGTTTGTCGTACTCTCGCTTTTGGTAGCAACAGCCTTCAAACAGATTTTGCAGCGAGCTGTTTGTTGCTCTGAGTCTGCGGCTGCGAAACCGAACCAGTTCCAGATAACTGAAGACACGGTGCCTTCCTCTTTGGTAGCGTCCATATTGTCTGCGTCTTGAGGGACGGGACGGGCGGGATGAAAACCTCTGAACTACGGAAGCCCCAAAGAGTGTACTTGGGGGGGTCCTGATTTCCCCAAAATTAAATTGTTATACACAGCAAATTTGAATTAATCAATAAAATCAATTTTTTTACCCAGCCCTACCACTCGCTCTTGTCCGTAATTGGTTTCATATGGGACTTAATATGGCCAACCCTCCGCCGGAACGCGCAAACTGAGTGAGTAGGGAGTAGGGCGATGGGAAAAGCCCCCTAAAATGCTCTGTAAATGTAAATGGCTGCCTGGAGGTCTGGTTCCTCACTTCATCATCAGAACCTGAAACGAGTAGCTGATCGGCTCCTTTTCTAGGAGACTTGGTTTTAAAGATCATCTCATGGTGGACACGAAGACCCTGAGATTCAGCAGCTAAATGAAATTAATTAGTGGAGTGGGAGATTAGACTGGCACACAGCACGATGGAGGGGGTGTCGAGTTAAAAAACAAMCTGAGATGAGGATTTCTGCAGAGGCTGGATGCTTTTTTTGTTCTCCTCTGACTGGTGATGTTTATCACTCAGCTCAAACTATTCAAGCCTCCTTATTGAAAAGCTTGTGAACGAACACCTGAGCCTCTTTTTATACACGACACGAGACCTTTTCAAAACATTTATTCAAATTTTTTTATTAGTATTATTTATTTCTGCTCGTGTCGTGCAACAGGAGTTCTTTCACAAAACAGGCAGGAGCGAGCGAGTTTACGCACTTCAAACAAAGGACAAAATAGGCAGCACACACACACACACACACACACACACACACACACACACACACACACACACACACACACACACACACACGTCTTCTCTCAAGGATCTGCTCTGTCTCAGCTGTCGCTCACGCTGCAACGTGTGCCTGAGGGCAGATGTTTCAAAAAGTGGGTTCAGAAGCGGGTGGAAAACCCAGTCGGGGGTTTATTACTAGACTTTCCTAAGATTAGAAAATAAATGTAATTTAAAAGCAGAAATGCACAGAGGAGAGCTGAAGGAACATTCATTTTCCAAGCAGAGGAGTGTTTCATGACAGTTTTAAACTATGACTTGTTTTGGATCACTCTCAGCTACTACCACATTTCCATAAAACTGACTGATTCATTGATATTTTTGTGTTTTTTTTCTTTTAGCTCAGCTGTCTGTGACAGCCATCTTCTGAGTGACTCCAAAATTTGACATGCAACCRGCAACTCCTCAGCTTCATTAAAATCCATGCAACGTTTCATGAGATATTTTGCTAACAAACAGCAGGAACAACCAACAGTTACAGTTTAAAGCAACCCTGTCACATAACCTGCAGCACTCTGTATGTGTTGAGGATGACCCTCGGCTACCATCAGGCCAAATTTGAGCTCTAYGTTAGGGCTGCAACGATTAGTCGATTARTYGACRACTAATCGATTATTAAAATAATCRATGRCTAATTTAATAATCGATTAATTGTTTTTGTTCTTTACTTTGTTTTTCTCTCCAAACTGCTTTGACACCTTCCACTGCCACATCTGCCTTTCTGTCCTTGACACACATGCACAGTAGTGGTAACTGGGGTAGGCCGTGGACGTCACAAGACATTATACAGACAGGCTCTGGTATCATGGCTACCTGACAACGGAGCTCAAAAGTGTGGGATCATTTTAAGAAAATGAAAGAGAAACCTGTGYAATATCTGCAGAGCAGAACTTGCCTTCCACTGCAATTATTTTTAGTTAGCATATAGCTAAAATCTAACGATGGTTGTGCTGCATTCTGGCACGATCAGCTCTATGTTTTATATTCAATTAATGTATGATCTGATTAGTCAAAAAAAAAAAATCGAAAAAAAATCGGTGATTAATCGATTAGAAAAATAATAATTTGTGGCAGCCCTACTCTACATCAGGGAAATTAAATATTTTTTAGCTATTTCTCTTTTTGCTGATGTCGATTAGCTGCGGCGACCATCTTGAATCAGAGCTGCTCCAAAGGTTTCTCAGTTGAAGAGGTGGGTCTAGTGAATACATTTTGGGAGTTTAATTAAAATCTTTACGACGGTTCATGAGATATTTTGCTAACAGTCAAACAGGACCAATAAATAGTTACTGACCAAGTTCTAAGCAATGATGTCACATAACCTGTAGCACTCAGACTATGTGTTGGGGATGACTAATGACTACTACCGTGCCACATTTTAGCTTAATATCTGTGAAATTAAACAGAGATTTAGCTGTTTTTGTGTTCATTAGGTCGATTAGCTGTGGCAGCCATCTTGAATTGGAGTGATTCCAAAAGTTAATTAGTTGTAGAKGTGAATCTAGAGATTACAATTAGGGAGTTTCACTAAAATCCCTGCAACAGTTCATGAGATATTTTGCTAACAGACACACAGACTAAAATCTCATCGGTTGCCTTTTGGCTTCTTTGGTGGGTGATAAAAAGATGCTGAAGCCCTCTAATTTCACCTCCTCCCAGCAGAAAAGCTGTGACTCTTCCCACAGGCAGACCCCCTGGGGGTTCTCAGTCTGGGTGGTCCTCTGAGGTCCTGGTCCCACATCCTTCGACCCCCATCCAGACTCCTTTTCTGGTGTCCTCCCTCCCACAACAGGACCAAAGTTTCTCCCAGTGTCCCTGCCTGCTCCTCATGTTTTATCACAGCAGGTTAATGAGGTTAAATGAGTCACGTGATTAATTAAACCAGGCGAACATTAGAAACAGGTCATTAAAGGTAAACAGGACTCACCTGTGAACAAACACAGAAGCAACGAGTTCCTCAGCCATTCACACCCGACCGACCTCCACCTCCTGCCGGACTCTTCCCTCATCTTCTCCCGCTGTTTTTTTTATTTTTTTATTAAAAATTATTCAAGTTTTTGTTTGTTTGTTTTGTTTCTTCCACCTAAAAAAGGTCACATATTTGAGTCTTTCTGAAGATATAACTCAGATCAGCGCGAGCCTTCTTCAAACTTGTCTCCCTCTTCTTCCTCCTCCTAGAAGAAGCGGAGCTCCTCGGCTGTTTCCTCCCCACATGTAAGCGTCTCTGCCATCACCTCCGGCAGACCGCCGGTGAAGGTTTTTATTCCCCTCCTCCTCCTCCTGCTGCTGCAGACYGATGTAAAGTAAACAGACGCACGGCGGAAACTCCCATTTAATTGCTGCTTTCAAAATAAAACACACTGACGGAAAGTTTTTCCAAAATAAAACCACAAAAGAGTTGAATTTTCTCTTTGATGTGTGTTTAAMCGTTTTCTTTAAAACATATGAAATGCATACTATTCAACTAAACTTGAAAGAAACGTCAATATATTTGAATAAAGATGTGATCAAAGACTTTTGGACCTCACATATTTATGAGCAGGTTTATTGTTTAAAGCTAATACTTGTGTCCAAAATTACCTACATCCAGTTTGCAAAACTTGGCAATGTAACAACGATTCACATAAACAATGCTGGTGAAACAATACAACCTGGTATGTACCTACAGAAGATGGTATGTACCAAGTGAATACTTGGTGTAGTACTTGGTACGCACCTGGTACAATACAAGGTACATACATACCTGACATAGTCATTGATATACACCTGGTACATACCTGGTACAGTACCTGGAATAGAAATTGGTACGCACTTAGTACTGTACTTGGTATGTACCAAGAATGTACTTTGTATAATAGTGTGGACAAGGTACAAGACTTAGGATAGTAATTGGTACATATCTGGTACAGTACTTGGTRKGCACCTGGTTCATGCCTAGCATAGTTTAGTAGTACTCACCTGGCACAGTACTCGGCATGTACCTGGTATAGTTCTAAGTATGTACAAGATGTGTACCTGGGATAATGATTGGTACACACCTGGTATAATTCCTGACATGCATCTGGTACAGTACTTGGTATGCAACTGGAACCTACATGTTATAGTACTAATTAGTAGAAATACRCACCTGGAACAGTACTTGGTATGTACAAGGTGTGTACCTGGGATTTTATAATACTTGGTACGCACCTGGTACTATTATACTTTGGACACATGCATTAAGGTGTCCATTTATTTACAATGAGGAAAATAAATAAATAAATAAATAAATAAATTCAAATCTTCGAAAACTCCAAAAGTTACAAAAACCTTCATTCCCAGCAGAGTGTCCTGAACAAACTGAATGTTTAGTTAACCAAACCAACAAAACATGAAAATGTAAAGTAATCAGAATAAAATAGTAAAAYTGTGTAAAATCTCACTCAGAATTTATACGAATAAAGTTAGGCTTAAATGAGGGAAGAATGGAGCAGGAGATTGACGGGAGTAATGGTGCTGCGTCTGCAGTGATGCGGGCGCTGTACCGATTTGTTGTGGTGAAGAGCTGAGCCAGAAGGCAAAGCTCTCAGTTTACCAGTCGTTCTAC